GAAGGATGACCAGGCTTTACAGACTTCCAGATGGTAGGAAGGTTTAACCAGGACTTTGGAGGGAAAGGAAATGAATGTAGAGGTACTGAGAACATTCCAGATTGAGCACAGCATTTTGGAGGAGTAAAGGAGTAGAGGCTTCGTACAAAACCAAAGTTACACTGAAGATGATGTCCACCTAGGCATAGGAGAGCAGGTCACAGATGGCTTTGAATGTAAGTGGAACTACTTGAACTGGACCCCGTATTTCGTAGGGAACAGTGGAATTAGGAAGTGGTGAGATAAACACATTTTAAGATTTATCTAGCAATGCTGTTATAGAGGTCATGGTTGTGACTTCATCCCCACCACCCACTTCTGGCTTCTTAGGAAACTGCCCTCATGTGTAACTGCTGATTCAGTGGCAGACTAACATAGCCATATTAGCATGACACAGCCACGTACCCCTCCACTCCCCAATACAGTCTCCAGTGGTTGTATCCCAGTGACCACGTGATCAAAGTCAACTGGTCTGCACAGTGAGCTGACCCAGTCAGATTCTTGTGTGAGATATTTAAGTAAGGAATACAGAGGTTATAGTTAGTGAGGGTCATGTGGTCATGTGTCAGATTTGTAGCCAAGTTCACACTTCTTTGGCCATTGGCATGTACGAAAAAGTAGGTCTGCAAAGATGAGATAGAGCAGATATCTCCCCACTTCACCCTCACAAGGAGAGAAACAAGGTCCCTACAACCTTACAAGAGTAAAATAGAAGAGCTCTTTGACAACTGCCTAGTTCTCAAGTGGACTTCTTACATCCTTTTTCATAGTGCTTTGTCCTTCTTGACAGTGAACCCCCTTTCTATCTGAGCAGCTTCAAGAGAGTTTCTGTTCCCTATAACCACATAGCATTGGCCTGAATAAATATTATCAAATGAAACAGAGACAGCATTGGAGCAGTGAGGCTCTGCGTACAGTCCATTCAGGGGCAATACCTGAATTTGTAATTGAAATTGAGCTCCCAGTTGTTGGTTCTTGGCTTTGTTTCTTGAACTTTGGGAATCTTATTAACAAAATGAATACCTGTATACATAATGTAGAGTGTTGACTGTGTGTTTTCTTCTAGAAGTTGCAATGTTCCTGGTCTTATTCCTAAGTCTTTATTCCACTTTGAGTGGATTTTTGTGCAGGATGAGACATAGACTTCTGTATGGCAAAGGAAGTAACTAAAAACATGGAGAGGTGGGAGAAAGTCTTTGCCAGCTACTTCTCTAACATGGGATTAATAACAAAAATATATAAATAACTCAAAAAACTTAACACCAGAAAAAAAAGGAATGACCCAATCAATAAATGGGAAAATTGACTAAACAGACATTTCTCAGAAGAAATGCAAATGGCTAACAATATGAAAATATGAAAAATATTAAGAATGTTCAACATCTTAACAAGCAGAGAAATGAAAATCAAAACCACATTGAGAATTCATCTCACTCCAATTAGAGTGGCAATCATCAAGAATACAAATAATAAATGCTGGCAAGGATGTGGGGGAAAGGTACACTCATATATCATCAAATTATACTAACCATTTTGGAAAGCAGTATGGAGATTTCTCAATAAACTAGGAATAGATCCATCATGTGACCCAGATATCCCACTCCTTGGTATTTATCCAAAAGAACTAAAATCAGTATACTGTAGTGATACAGCCACATTAATGTTTATAGTAGTTTGATTCATAACAGACAAGACATGGCAGCAGCCCAGGTGTCCATCAGCAAATGAATGGATAAGGAAAATGTGGAATACATATTCAATGAAGTACTCGGCCTTAAAGAAGAATGAAATTACAGCATTTTCTGGTAGATGGATGGAACTGGAGAATATCGTGCGAAGTGAAATCAGCCAGATCTAGAAAGTCAAGGGTCCAGTGTGATCTCTCATGTGAAAGAGAAAAGGGAATTTAAAGAAATGAACACATGTGATTCTCCTCAGTGAAGGAGTTGGACTGAGACACGTGCCCACTATGGATAATTGCCCTTTATGAGCCACAATGGCAGGATCATATCACCAATCTGGTTGTACCTTGTGAAATACTGGAGAGAAATGAAGGAGAGGTTACGCAGAAGAGAACTATGGGCTTATACGCATTGTAGGGGTCTTGAGAGTTGATAGTAGTTAATGGAGAGCATGAGGGCGAAGAGATGCTAATTTTTTTCCATATCAATTTAAACTGATAAGGACTCATCAAGGTAAAAATATTCTATATGAAAATGGAATGGTATCTCTTAGCCATGTCAGGAAAGAGTATTTGACTGAAGAACATCAAAGAATGCTAGTGGAAACTCATATTTTCTAGTTAAGGCTCTACCATTTTGGAATTAGACAGTTCTGCATTCAAAACTAGTAGGTTACTATATAAGCTCCACAAGGGACAGGGACTCTGTGTGTTTGTTTAATGATATCTCCCAAGTTCATAGACCAATATCTGGCACATGAGTGACATGCACAAACTATGTGTTGATGGAAAAAATTCAGTTTGGGCTTTGTTATCTCACTGCTGCATGTTCTTAAGCAAGTTATTAAAGCTCTCCAAGGCTCAGTTAGAATAGAGTAACAGTCGCCCATAACTCATAGCATCATTTGAGAATTGCAAGAGATAAAGCAGCCATTGTTAAAACCACCCTGGGAGACTTGCAGCTTCTGCTTTTTTTCTGTTTAGATATTGGGCTTCAGGGTGAGATTTCATTGAAAGAAAAAGAAAACTGAAAAGCAGCAAAGAGTAGAAGAATACTTTCTACTTTTCACAAGGAAAATACACTCCCCGAGTGGCTCTCAAGCCTGTTGCCACTAGGGTTGGAGGCAAAAGATGAGAAGGAAATGGAACTTTTCTTGGTATCAATTATGGGTTAAAATGCATCGCATCTTGGGGCTGGGATTGTGGCTTAGCAGTAGAGTACTCGCCTTGCACATGGGAGACCCTGGGTTCGACTCTCAGCACCACATAAAAATAAATAAGTGAAATAAAGTTATTATGTCCAACTACAACTAAAAAATAAATACCTTTTTACAAAATGCATCACATCTTATCTATTTGTATAAAGAGTAGCAGACAAAATATCCAAATATAACATGTATACTGTATTGAAAGGAAAAACAAGGATTAAAAATTTCTTCCCCAAGTGCTTGGTAGAATATATGAAGAGAAAGACAGCAAGCTAAGAAAAAGATGTACTAATTAGAAAAACATCTCAAATAATTTATGTAATTCCACCAAGTTAAAAATATGTCTTTTGTTCGTTTCAGTAATGATTTAAAAATTAACCTAGAAAAATAAATGACTTAGCAGAGTATTTAATTATCAGTCCTGTGGCTAACTTTGTGGGTTGCAGTTTCCCCAGTTTGGCTTTAAAATCGTTAATATCTCCTGCCTTTCTCTCATCTTGGCGTGAGTTGATCGTGTGCCTCGCAACATGCTGAGCACACATCATCATTAGCATCTAGACTAATTTTCTTTCTGATTTGACCAACCAGTAGTTGAGCTCATTTCCCTAGACTCCAATTTATTTCATCTGCTGTGCCTTTAAACTCAGGCTCAGATCTTTCCTGGTGCCCTTTTGGATAGGAATAAGAGAGGCAGACCCGCAAAAGAGGATCCAGAGCCATTAAGTTCATGGAGAGTGGGCACCAAGAGGAGAGAGTGCTAGAGTTCCTACCTGGAATATACCATGGCTTTAAAGTCGTTTTGTGCTTTGAAAAAATAAACTCTAGTTCACAATAATCTATTCGCTGTTTCTATGAAGAACTCCAAGGTTCCAAACAAAAAGAAATGATAACAAGATGGAAAAGATAATTACTCTGATTGATCTATGTGAGGTACATGCAGGCATTGGAGTATAACGCTGCACTCCCTAAATATGTACCATTACTACATGTTAATAAAAGTCAAACATTAAGAAAGAATAAACCTTGGGAAGAACAAATTTAATAAGCAAATGAAACAAGTCAACATTTGCAAAATAGTAAGAGTTGCATATTTGGGGGGAACCGCATATGATTATTTTTTAAGTGTGGCAGAGGAACTCAAGAAATGTAATATATCAGAATGCCAAACCAAAACTTTCTAGATGCCTTCCTCCAGCCTCCTGTTCCCACAGCTGTATGGAATATGCACAGGGCCTGATATTTTAATCAAAATAGAAAAAGATGTTAAATATTTGAGTACCTTTTTTTTTCTTTTGCGGATATGAAAATTCCACTTGAAGAAAAGCTATGTGCCCAGGGTCTCATCGCCTGCTGTCTTGCAGTGAATTCAATTCACTGTGGCATGAGTTGAATATACATAGGAAAATTGGGTACAGACA